AAACACTGACAGTCGGTTGGGGTGGTGCGTGCGTGCATGAAGACTGGAGGATTCGGCTAGTGATATTGAGAGTGAACGGAGGGCGGTGCGTGAGGCTGGGAGGCTGACCTGAGTCCAGGCGGAGGCGTCGAGGCAGAGGCCACGCGAGGAAGCTGGTCACTTCCTGCAACGCGACCCGCGACCCAACGCGGGAGGAGGGAAAAGGCCAGCTTTCTCACGGCTCCGCCCACCGAGTGCGCAGAGGGGAAGACGCCCGCCTTTGGGAGTTGGACTCATCGAATGACTTTGGAGTAAATACCGTGAGTGACTTCAAATCAGTTACTGCAAATCTATTGTATGTGGAAGACGGATTAAAACTCTTTCTACTTCACAACTCTTCTTGGCTTACTTTATAAGATTTTGGGTATTTGTTGATTGTGTAAGGTTATGTTGCTGTTTGCCTTTGTTTTTTTAGTTGCAATGTATCACCAAAAAGGTAGACTGGAGTACTGTACAAGATTTTTTAAATTATATTTTTATATTATATCTAAATTTTATGTATTAGATATGAAGGGTTTGGACTTTGTTTGTAGTCCCTCAAAATTTCATTCTAAGAGCCCCGAGCTCATTAATATCCCGTTTGATGCTCGCTTTCTCCACAAAGTTTTCCATGCGTCTCCGTGACGTGTAAACAATACATGTCTGAGGCGGAAGTAGTCAAAACCTTGTAGGATAATCTCGGTTGTGGCGTACGACCTTCTCACATAAATTACTAATTTTTATTTTCCTGTATATCCGGAATAATATTCGAAGTATAGGGAAAGTTATGAAATGCTGCGGAAAATCGATTTTGATCTCAAAATAAATACACGTTTTGCGGTCTAAAAAGTGTTTGGGGATATCTAAAAAGTGTTGTATTTTTTCAAATCGTCTCTGTCTCTCCGTCTCTGCGTGTGTGCGTTTGGCCGTCACGGTCGGATCTTCTGAAGAAAAAAAAAACACTTTATCGGTATCAGAGGACACCAAAACTTGTATTTCTCGTTTTGAAATCTCGAAATCAATTTTCCACAGCATTACATATCTTTCCCCATGCTTCGTATATACGTATATAAACTGGAAAGTAAAAATACTGTTATACGTAGCCAGACTCAGGCCCAAACAGAAATAAAAAAAATTAAACACAAGTTTTAACAGAAAATGATCATTTGTGTCAGAATGTTGCTTTGCCAACCTAATAGAGGTTAAATCATGAAAATTTGCTTGGATGTAGATTACTGAGCGCAAAAATCATTCTGCATTCTTCCGATAGACCACAAGCCTCTTCTAGTTACCACTTCAATTTCCATGAATGCGGAATTTTCATAAAAATTTGATGGAGTGGGAAAATTTTCTTCTCCCTTGGAATTTAGTGTTTCCGGATAAATGTCGGAGCGAGTAGAGTTCATGCAGTATGAGTTAGTAATGTTGACTTTACAAAAATAAATGTGAATAAAAATTTCACGGAATTATATCTTAGAATTCTTTTTGAGTGGGATGTTAGTAAATGCAACAGCCAGTGAAAGTGTACAAAAATCGCAGGAAGCATGTATTCTCTTAAAAAAGTTCACACTTAAGATCCTAACGAATATTGACGAAAAGGCATATCTTTGTATGAAACTTCTAAGTTGAATATTTGGAATTTGTGTCCATGTTGTGTTCCCATTCGAATGGCACAAAAGTGACTGTCATTTTTACTGATTTTATTATTTCATCATCCCTTCCCGGTACACATTACTCTTTATCATATTAATTTGCCTGTTCGTTCTTTCTGTATACATTCAATTTTCTTGCTACTTTTCGTTATTACTATTTTTAAATTCGTTTTTAGTTTATTAATATACGGGTAATGCTGGTTATCACAGGATAAAACTTATAAATCTATGAAATAAAGATTAAAACATAGATTGAATATTTGATTCGCTTTCATATTTAGTTTTAAATTTCTACATAAATAACTTTCGATGAACGCAAATTGTTTTACTGCATGAAATACTACATTATTACTATTGAAAGTGATGGGTATTTAGTGTTCTGCGCCGGTCAAACACGATGCAGCAGCTGTATTATCTCTCAAGCATTTTCGTAGAATTATAAAACTACAATGGACACCATCGTCGCATGAATAGACGATTTGGCGTCAGTGAGAGACCAAGTGCAGATGATCGCTGTCAACGGAAACACCATATATCGTACAGTGTTAGAGTGAGGTGTAGTCAATGAATGTGCATGTCTCTGTGAACCAAGTTAAGCAAGTTCACTGCAAATTAAGCAGAGCTTCCGTATTTACCCATGCTTGCCGGTGAGGCAATATTTTCGACAGGTTTAACTAAGGACATGCGATAGGTTCACAGATTCCTTTGCTCTCATTTCTCTCCTACTCTTTCAACACAATAGTTCAACAATCGCGTTTACAATGGTCATTTCCTAACGACTATGTGTTTGTGTCCAATTCATGCATGTGACGTTTTGTAAATCAATTTAAGCAAGAAAATTGTTCAATTCTGAAATGTATTTTGAAAGCACTTTCGAAGTTGAAACGTTGGTTAATTTTTCTCGTGTTGTGTGTATTTTCGGAAACGTTTCACTAACTGAAAGCTGTCAAACATACATTTTTCGAGGTCTAAAGAACAACTCTAAGGTATACAGAAATTACAGGGTGCTTGTAGTCCGAAACACAACTTGACAAGGAGTTTAACTCGCCCCTCCTTCTTTTAATAAAGATAAATAGAAAAATGACCAGCAACATTTAGACCATATACTACTGTGAAAGAGAAGTGCCTACATTAATATTCAGTGTCAATCTGTGCTGTTCTAATGCATTATACCTTAAAAGAAAAATACACTACCGCACACTGCTCAGCCGCATGCTCGCGACAGCATATCGACCTCCAAACAGCTTCTTGCCCTTGCTTATTACGCCTTGCATAGGCAACCCATCTGACGTGTACGTCCCCAGAATGTGTTGATTTCAGGCGGACGCGCGCTGGCGTCCGACGAATGAGGACTCTCCGTGGTGGCGACGGGTGGGGATTCCACACAAAATGGCGATTCAGAAGGTGCGCTTTCTCCGGGCAGTGGTTCGAATTGCGCGCAGAGAAAAGTGAAAAACGAAAAAGAAGAAAAGGAAAGGTCAGTGTGTCTTTATTTCTAGTATGTTACTAAATTAACTCTGACCATTTGATGACTAGTGAATTAAGAAGTCTCCGTGTAAATAATGATACCTGTCATTTCCCATTTTATATGAAAATGGAATGTGTTCCCATTTTTTTACAAAATAAGATGTTCGGACGATGGCAGGACTAGCTTGTAGCTAGGTCGAATTGACAGCTGACTAGGGGAGAATCTAGCAGTCGCTTGCTCTAATCCATAATTTACCCCGGTTTTTCCCATCATCGGCAGGTGAATAGCAAAGCTGTAGGAGGAATTGTGAGCGGGTCAGATTGATACATAAAAATTAAACCGTTTATTATACACTAAAACTGTCACTACTCACATTTCCAAATATTTATTGATGATTCCTATTTTACACGTATATGTAGTCGTATGATATATAAGTACATTATAATCGGCATGCCATTTGTTATTACAGTTTAACGTACCATATGTAATACGGCTATTATTTAAGGAAACTTTTCTCAATCTTTTGGACTCATATTTTACCGTATGAGAAAAATTAAATACTTAAAATTTCGTTTAATATTTTGGATAAATTTGCTAGACGTGTAAGAAAACTTTAACTTGCCGGCAATTAATTCTTTATTAGAACTTATATATAATTAATTCTGGATTTTAAACGTGTTCGTGATTACGAATTTGTGAATCATCGAAAAGAACATTTTAATGATTTAAGTATGGTGTAGAATTGAAGAAGTATAATAAATTATCTTTGATATTTCTTTGCTTCATGGTCAATTCAGTTAAAATGGATTTAATTTAGAGATTTATCATTAAAACGCAAAGCTCTGCGCGAAGAACGATTATACTAAGTCCATTGTTTCACGAAAGAAAGCGCGAAAGTGCCCCATTACGTAAAAGAAGAGATTCTGGGGAAACCCCGACCCACCCCAACAGCAATAAAACGAGGGGAATTCGGTTCAAGTCTTCCCACCCCTCCGCGGGCACGCGCGTGACGTCACTTCTAATTGGTATTCCTGAGGCGGCGTGGCCCTCTGCCGCCGCGCGTCGCTCCCACCTCCCACCTCCC